AATTGGCTCTATAATTACACAAGTAAAATACAACTTTTGCCCATCAAGTTATCTATCATTTGAAAGAGTTTTATTTAAGCTTTCCAGTTCTATGGTTTACAATAATGTACTATGATACCATATTAAGTGGTGTAAGTTTTGGGTTAAAATCATGCATTTTAAGTGAAAGTGCGCTTAATATTTAATTAAACTTTTGAATGCATACCCTAATTTTGATTTAAAACATTTATTTAAAACTTCTGGTTACAAAGAACAAAGTGGATTATTCATTAGTGTTTCCATTGAGAAGTTTTGATACAGTGCTCTTTGAAACATTTTATAAATTGTTCACATTTAACAGAGCCGCTAATTGGCAACTTTATTTTTTCTGTTCCAGTAAAAACAGTGAACCATATGTAGCCACTTACTTAGGATACACCTGAATAATCCCCCCTAAAAATTTCTTTGAAAACAAATGAACTAGAAGTTAAATAATTTTAAAGGTTAAATTTTGAGTAAAAAATAATCGCCATTTTATAAAAAGAGTGATAAAAACGAATTATTTGCTTTATATGCATAAAAGAAACTTATAGAAATACACCATACACTGACATTCGCTGATGTTAAACCGTCAAGTACAAAATATTTACAATTCGAGGGTAACGGACGAAAAAAATCGTCTGCAAAGTCACAACTTTGCATTGCATCGTGTTATCACTGAAGGAGGGGCACAATGGATTACGCAAAGCCGATGAGATATTCATACAGTTATATAAGCATAGCGATCGCCATTGGGTGGGTTGATTCTAAATTTACCTCCCCTCATACTTTGTATGACACAGTTTTCACGTTCCCTGGTAAAATGGACCATGCGACATTAGACTACCCTGTTGAAATTGGCCCTAATATTTTGCTACACAATGGCTATTCAAAGTTGTTACTGCTCAATTCGAAATGAAGTCGCATTGGAAGGGGAGCTATTGTAAATCGAGGCAGGTTTCTATCAACTACCGACGAGACGGGTCGATTAAAATTGAACGAACCCTGACCTCTGGAAACACCTCATTCATGCCTTAGTGCCTTAGTACCAGATGTCGCCGAGCAATACAATGTACTTTACGACATTACTACTACATTACTAGCTGCCAAGGGTGTTTCCGATTAAGGTAACAAAGATTACATCGCTGAGTGCATGATTTTTCCGCAATGTTTAAAAACAGTTCACAAATAGTGGCAGACGATATGGCAGTTGGCGTAAAATAGAGCCGGACGAACAAGTGTAATGCAAGTCTTACAGATAATGAGATTAGAAAAGTCTAACACTGTCTAAAAAACAGGTTTTATGACTAGACAGTCAAATTTGGGAGGATTTTGATAGGAATGGGCATTTAATAGAGAGTGATCCCAAAAATTGAATGCTCCAAAAGTAAAGTAAATGGCTGCTTAGTCAAGCATTGATGCTAAATTTAATGATTGGCGCCATAAAATTGAAAAAAAAAATAAAAAGCAAGTATGAGGGTTTTAACACCAGGTTATTTTCTTTTTCATTGAATATAGATTCAAACCAGTTATAGTTATGTCCAAGCTGCATCGCAAAGTCACAGTGGATAATTCAAAATCTGTACGAGACTCTTCTACGGGCTCCAGGCGTAGACAGAGTGTATTTGATCGTCTTGGTCCTGGTGGGGGCAGAGAGGTAAGTGTGATTAGTATACACTCAAAAATTCACTTATTATTGTGCTTGGCTTATATCACACAATTTTTAGTTTTGCTGTCATCTTTGTTGAGTGGAGTGACGTGCAGTCATATTACTGATTGTCCTTCCTTGGTGACATCCTGTCATCTTGAAAACTACCAGCTCAATTGCTTTGATAAATGGTTCGTACATTTGTAAGACACGTCGGGTGAAGCTCTGTCAGATTTGTTCATTTTGTGAAGATATTATTAATTCTTTATTTTTTAGTGAATATGTTTTTCTATTTTTCACTTCTTAAAAACCGTGACTCCAATTGCTTTAATACTTTGATGTATGTGTATCTTGAATGGACCTCTATCATATTTAGTTTCTTTTGTGAAATTAAGGGAATTCACAGAAATAATATATTATCAATGGGTACATGTTGAGACACTTGAGTAATAGAATGTTGTAAGCAAAGCAAGATCATTTGTTTCTCCACTATGATGTTTATGTATTTATGCATAGCTCTATTGAAATAGCAACTGTCAGTTCTCTTATTTACATTTTTGACTTCTTCCTGAAAAGTCTGATTGGTTTGAAACTTGGTATACCATATAATAATACATCATGGTATCAACAATGGATCAACACTCGTTAAGCCGGTTAAAGCAGCTTGCAACATTGGTGTCATCTTCGATGATTCACTTCAGTTCAGTAAACACATCATCAGTACATACCAGAGCATAAACATGCATATCAGACGCATAGAACTCATTCGCCAACATCTTTCTGAGCATACCTGTCTTTAACTCATTCACATTATTATAACCGCTAAACTGGATTACGGCAATGCCTTAGGGGTGATCTCGTATTCAAACACCTGGGTTAACCTGGGTTAACCCGACCTGCCCTATTCAGACCTACTAGACCTACAATATGCAAATTAGTAGTAGGTTTAAACCTAACCTCCGGATTAACTGCCCATTAACGCCCCCACTGAAAACAAACAACAGAGAACAAAGAAGACAGACCTAAGGAAACCAAGGTTTTTCTTACAATACTGTTTCAGCCTGGTTTCAGTAGGAAAAAAAAATAAGATGTATATGGGGCTCCATGTTCATACTGAGTGTTATATTTTGAAGTGTTAAGAATTACTTGCATTTGTTTCACAAATCTATTTACATCATGTCATTTATAAGTGTGATGAAATTATATTCATTTATTTCAGTGATTGGTAATAATAATCAGTTTCCCACAACTTACATTTTGGTACAAGTCAATACAATTGTTATTGTTTTTCAATTTATCTGGAATTAATTACAGACGTGATGGTTTGTTATATTTTGTCATTAAATGTGAATCAAGTGATACCATAAACCCTCTATTGTGATATATATGGTAAATTAATGTTTGAAACAGAACAGGGAAAAAATGCACTAGAATTTTAATGAGCAGCTTCTTAGGATAAATTACTCACGTTATATATATATTTGGCATAGTCAGTAAAATATGTTTATCCATGGAGCGGACTGGTACATTTTGTCCGCAACAAGTACGGTCAGTTTTGTGTCCATGTCAGTTCATAAATTCATAGAACACATTTTTTGGTTAAGTTTGTAAAGTCTGTGAGATTGCGAGTTATCAAAATATGATGAAAGTATTAAATCGATAATGGCAACATTGTTTTCTACGAAGGCATCTGAAAACCACAGTCCCTCTATCACTGTGTCAAAACTAAAGTCAGGGCTAATGCTACGACTCCGGCGCTACGACCACCGTAACATTGTCAGCTGAAGGCATTGCGGGGAAATTACGGGTATTTACCGCTGCCGATATCTTACTTTTCTGTGACAAATGCACACATTTTGAACCCCCGGTTAATTAAAAATAAACGATTATTTTAGAAAATACATCAAA